CATAATAAACAATAACGAGTGATAATACCGAGTTGTACTTTTATTCAATTTAATTATTTTTAAATTTATTAAATATTAATTGAGTAATTGTTTGTTTTGTTAATTCTATAAGAAGTTAAATGTCAATTATAAAATAAGTTAATAAATAATAGTAAATTTTATTATCATTAACAATTTTTTAATGGATCAGGCATACAATGCTAAATTGGCATAATTTAATTAATATTAAACAAATAAATTGTATTTAAACCATATGTTGGAAATTATAGGTACTACCACAAATTATAGGTACTACCACAATCCACACAATTCCACGCATATGACGTCACGTGCGAACCAGATTTAAAAAACAGTTTTGCATAGGCATAGGCTATGCATGGGTGTTTTACTACGATTTATTTTGAGTTTTTACTAAAATTATTGTGTCTTTTAAAGTATAACCACGCACGATGTTTTTGCAACGTTTTTCTAAAAGTTTTTACTTAATTTTTTGAACAGCAATAACTATTTACAATCCACGCACGGGTGTTTTATACCAGGTTATTTATTGAGATTGTGTTATATTTGTTAGACTTAAAACTATTTAAAATATGCCGGGCTGTACTGTAGCAGACAGCAGAAATATAAACAGAAACTCCAATACCCAACCTAACCTAACATTAAATATTTTCGATTTCCAAAAGATCTGGCAGCACAGTGGATAAATGCATGCAAGAGAAAGGATAAAATGAAAATAAAAAACGGTAAGTAAAGGCAATTTTTGGTATACTCAATTTTCTGTTAGGTATTTGGGTATAGTAACTTTTTACCCTAACTACATATTTTTTTAAAGCTTCTAATATAAAAATTAAAACTCAATTGTATCGAAAATCCGCTTCATAAGTGTCACAAGTAAAAAAGCATTTTTGAGTTTTTGTTTTTACTTTTGACACTTTAAAGCGGGCATGCTTTATTATTACCTGTATAATTGCATTTTTATAATTTTGTTACCTTTCATATTAAAAAAATGTAAACTTCGGTCTAGCGTATAGGAAGGTAGAAAATTACTTGTTGCTTAAAATATGTTACATTAGCGCTTGCTGCCAATTTAACTTTCTCTTAACATTTGTTACACTTAATTATTGCACCCTGGCTGTCCCTATTTTTATAAATTTTCGAATATAACGTAAATTTGCAGTTCAAAAAAACATTCTAATGGTGCGAGAGAGATAGCTATAACTAGGGTTGTGCCTGGTCAATTGACCGAGATTTTGACAGGAGAGATTTTGACCATGTCAAAATCGGTCAAAAACTTTTAATTCAACCGCGCGCGGCGGCGGCGCTACCTAGCGGTAAATATCAAAAGTATTTAAAAAATGGTCGGTATAGTGGCAGGCCCGTTCCTAGGGTGTCTGGCGCCTGCGTGCAGCATTCGTTGGCTCGCCCCTTTTATATTTAAATATAATACATTAAATATTTGAATTTTAAGCCGAAAAATTTAAAAAATATACATTTTGCGACAAACTGGCAATATGTAATTGAAAATGTAAAAAACGCTTAAATTAAGTATAAAAAATATTTATTAAATTACCAACAAACAAGTAATATCATAAGGGCATCTATTTTTTCTGAAATAAATCGAAAAAACACGTTGCTAAGTAATATTTTAACCCTTTATAGGGCAGAATCCATTAATTGTTATTTTTATTTTTTTTTTGGTAAGACCTACATATTTTGGATGTCTTAAGTTATTTTAATGATTATTTTGAAAATCCAACTGTTTTTTTTTTAATTTATCATGGTGGATAAAATGGAAACCATAAGATGATAGATGGGCGGTGGTCTAAATGCAAACCACATATTTAAATTAATCGTTTTTTTTGCGTTTCTGAAAGGATTTTAGTTTTTTTTCAGGACCAGGTAAAATAATTACATGGTGTATGCTATAAAAAATCAAATATTTATTTCCAAATTGTTCACTGTCATTATTTTTATCTGAAAACGGTTTTAGTAAATTTCAATTTCTCAAAGTTTCTTCATTTTTTGATTCTACCTACTCTTGTGTTTGTGAGTAAATTACAGTGGCATTTCTGTGATGCATATTTATATTTTCACTGGTCAATTTTCAAAAATGACCTACTACTGGTAGTTTTCTCTGTAGTAATCGCGATACTGAGTCATCTGAAAGAACATCTGCATTAGAGTCACTTTCACCCCCAAATCTATTCAAAATTTGTTTTCTGAAATGTATACTGGATGTTTGCTCACTACGATTACGTAGGCTGGATCGTGCTGAAGTATTGGCAGAAGTTACTTGTAAACATGAAGATGTACTTGGTGAATTCAGACGAAAAGTACTTGGGGACTCAATCTCCGAATCCATAGCCTGATCTTCGGTTATACCAACGACTAGATAAAATAGTTTACTTGAATCCAATTTTTTAAAAAACCAAAAAATACTGGACGTTCATAAGCATGAATCACAAAACTAGTTTTGTGGCATGAATTCAATAGTCTCACGGTATGGGAGCTTGATAGAGGTTATGTTCCAAAACGATCTAAATATTTCGTTAGCGCTAACCTATTTTCCAAGTACTATTATCACAAGTTGTAAAGCATTCAATTACCTTTTGAATTATGTGTGTTGTCAGGTAAAACAAAAATGCTTATGCTCGCTAGCAGCAACAATTACTGCAAATGTTACTTTTTCGCAATTTTGTGGGAACAGGCAATGGTTAACATAGAGACCACATTGTTATAACAATTGCTAAATTTAAATTGTGGCCAATATGATACTCACTGCACATTATGAGTTCATTTATTTGTACTTTGGTCGAAGTTTGGGTTCTCTCTCATTTCTAAGTAAGCTGTAATGGATGTGGTTAACATAGAGACCATTAACCTATAAAGGGTTAACAAGAAGCATGAGATCTGGTGGCAACAAAAATCCGAGTCGAAGACGAGGATTTTTGCACCTGCACGAATGCATTTTGTTAAAAAATATTACTTAGCATGGTGTTTTAACGATTTTTTTCACAGGAAAAGTTAGATGCCCGAATGGTATTTGACAAGACTATTTCATAAGTAACAGTTAACAATTAAAATATAAATTGTAATTTTTGGACAACAGCTGTCAAGTTTTGCCGCTGGTAAACTCGAAAAAACTGCTGACAGGTGCTGTTTTTCCACCTAGAAACCATTTGTAGTTCAAAATTGCGCGTTTGTGATTGGTGGAAATTAAGACGAGGGAAATAGTCAGTGATAAAAATACTCTAAAGAAAACAAAAAAAAAACAATCTAAACAATATAATAACTACAACTAGTTTTTAGTGACGTACTCTCTAAAAATGACTAGTTTTCAAAGAAAAAAGCAGTCACTAACAACTTTAGTCCACAGAAAGTATCCCGGGCATTTAACAGCTTATTATTATGTAAAATTGTCCCTTGAATCCGAAAATTTCGTCAAAAAGTTTACTGCCAAATATCCGGGATACAAATTGCTATTGACAATAATTATTAGTCGCTGCTTTTTCGCTATTGTAATTAGACTAATTGAATTAGTCATTTATAACTAATTCTATTTTAGAGCGTTACTACTGTTAAACTTTGCTACCGTCAACTGCAACTATCAAACAAATACTAAAGATAATATGACCATTTCTCTCCTTTTATTTTGATCCTCATATCAAAACAAAATAAGCAGCCAATATCAAAGCTGCAAAAGGCGTTTTATAGCGACCGAAAAAAAGAGCGGCCGACGCAAAAAAGGCAGAAACCTTTATCCAATGTATGTTTAAGTATCATATGCAAGAAAGTTTATCGTTACAAAGTACTGATTGACTCTTTGATTTTGCGCCCCCGAAATGTTGCGCCTGCGTGCGTGCACGCACTGCACGCTCGCCAGGAACGGGCCTGGGTAGTGGACCATGGTGCAATCATAATACTGCTTTTTAAATAGTGTTCTGGGTCATTTTTGACTAATTAATTTTAAGAGAGTAAAGACAATGGCGAGGGTGGGTTCAGTGACGAGGATTATGTGGCGTTATCTATAGATAACGCCACATAATCCTATACACATGCTAGAACTGTATGTGTGACGACGTTTCAGTACAATCTCATGTACCATCTTCAGGTCTTATCTGCTGCGCTGCTGTTGCTGCTCTGCTGCGAGCTAGACGTGAATGTTCTAAAAAACAATGATATTATGAATGTTTTTTTTGTACCCTAGAATGGTTTGTTTATTTTTTGTTAGCTGTTTTTCAATAAATATACGTTTCTATTTAAAATTGAGTAATTTTACTCATGCCTTCATTTCTTTAGAAAAAACTAAGGAATTTGACCGGTGCTTAGTCAATTGACCAAAAAAAATTTTGACCGGTCAAAATCCCAACCCTAGCTATAACATGTGCATCAGCATACCGGTTTTTGTGTATCGTTGGTACTACATTATTTAACCGTGGATAATTATGAAATATATTACACTAAAAAAATTGCTTTTTTGTTTTGCTTCCAAGAATAGCTAAATGGTTTACTGTAAAAGTGTTCAGAAAATGTTTTCCTAAAAATCTAGTGAAATAAAGGTGACTCAGGTACCAAACTGAAGTGCTAAAACAAAAGTAGCTTCACCAGAAAACATATTCAAAATTTTTAAAAAAGAAAATACTCTTTTCTACAGGTATCTCTGCATAACCGGGACCAGAAAGGGACCAGCCAGTATTGTTATGACGATATAAAAATAGTTTCTTAATTTTTGCATGAAAAGTTTAGGAAACCTCAATAAATTGTTTAAAAATACTTTATAATTAAAAAAAAATAATAATAAATTCATTTTATTATTTATGTACTACCAATAATAGGTAATTGGTTTCCTGGAAAATTGGCTGAAATTCAAACATAAAACTCGTTTTCCTGCAAGTTTCTCGAGTAAAATGAAGGTCAAAGTCAGTAGGCAAACAAAACAATAAAAACAAGCGAACCTGCGCCAAACCCTTAAACAAATAGAAGAGAAAACATGTACCCACCCTCTTTCTTAGAGCTTCTTCGGCGGGATCGACTAGAGCGGCGGTTACGTGGGCTGCGGTGTGCAGCAGCAACAAGACGCTGAGCGCCGCTAGACAGGCGGGTTGCGCGTGCAGCGGCAAAGCCGGCACCAGGACCAGGAACGAGCCGGCGGAGAGGGCTGCCAGTGTCAGCCAGCCGGTCAGCTGCAGCGGGTGCAGCGGCAGCTGGAAGCCGTGCTGGCGGCGGAGCCTTCGGCTGGCGTCACCCGCGTTTAACATCGCGCCCGCTCGACGTCGTCGTCATCTCCATGACACCGCGCGGCAATGGGGACCGTCACACACACGGCAACGTCACGTGCACACTGCTGACCTGTTCCCTCTTCTCTTTCGACGACGTTGGCTTCGTCTATCGACCGACGTCGGCTCTTCGCCGCCGTCCCGACGCATCGCCACGGGCGCAGCCATCCATGTTTGTTTACTTTTTCAACCACCTAGGGCAAAGCAATGTTTACTTTTTCAGCAATGTCCTGCATCTGGCATAACCTATTTTTAAAATAACATAACAACTGCACACTAAAAAATGCATGTAAAATTTAAAGTGTTTTACGATGATAAACTTGTTTTCTTTACATACAGGGTGGAAATCTTAACTGGAATAAATTCTGTATTTTGAAAACTACTTACTTTTTAAAAAAATCCAAAAACAGGTCAATTTATAAATTTACCTGGGTAAATTGTGGTAAATCTTAAAAATATAAGAAACCACCCTTTGAGGGTGCAACCAACCCTAACTTTTTTTTTCAAATGCAAAGGTATTTTAATTATTTCATTTTGGTACCTTAAAGAAATAAATACTTTTTTTATATCCACCAAAAACGTATATTCAACCGGAAGAATGTATTTTAGTTCTTTAAAATTAGTTGCAAGTAACGTGTTCTAAATTGACCGTAAAAATGTCTTATTTAACTGAAACTTTGCGTATTGAGATTCTAATGATGATTGGATTTGGTGATAGACGTCGAAATCAGACAGAAGTTGCGCATGCAGAATTGCCTCACATTTGCCAAGGGACTGTTAGTAAAGTAGAAGCAAAATATCACGAAAATGGGCATGTAAGAAATATTCCTAGACAACGCCAGCCTATCGTTGAAGACAATACGAAGCTTAATGTACTATTAGCAATCCAAGAAAATCCTGTTACTTCAGCTCGACAAATTGCTCGCGAGAACGATTTGAGCCACACCACTGTAATGAAGTTACTACATGCTTCAAAAATGCATCCGTATAAGATGCAAGCAGTACAGGAACTAATTGGGGATGATACCGATCGCAGAATTGAATTTTGCGAGCAAATGATGAACCTTTTTTAATGATAACCAAATTTCCTTGTATGTATACTATTTTCCGATGAAAGTACGTTTAATTTAAATGGTGAAGTTAATCGTCAATATTCTAGATATTGGAACGACAGCAATCCTTATTGGATTGAAGAAAATCATACACAGTATCCACAAAAGGTAAATGTTTGGGCTGAAATAATTGGTAATAGAATATTTGGTCCCGCCTTTTTAAACGAAACTCTAAATGGCGAAAGGCACTTAACTTTTCTTCAAGAAGATCTTATACCATATTTAGCAGTTCAGTTTCCAAACGAGAATGATCCAGACTTACCAGATAATAGAGTCTGGTTTCAGCAAGATGGAGCTCCACCGCACTACGCATTACCCGTTCGTCGATATCTAAATGAAATATTGGTAGAAGAGGTGCAGTTGAGTGGCCAACCCGATCTCCAGACCTTACCCCGTTGGATTTTTTCCTGTGAGGTTACCTTAAAAATAAAGTTTATGTAACCAAATCAACTAATATTGAAGATCTTAAAGAGAGTATCCGACACGAAACTTCTTGGGTGTTGGAAAATGTTAAAAATGAATTTTATAATCGTCTACGATTTTCTCAAGAAACCAGAGAAGCTCATTTTGAACATCTTTTATAATAAATCCATATTTATCATAAAATGAAGTTTTTATTATTTATTTATTAATTGTACAAAAATAAAATAATTAAAAATTGCATATTTGTATGAATTCCTATTAAAACAAGCTTTCAAATGATGTATCACTTGATATACCTTTGCATTTGAAAAAAAAAGTTATAGGTTGGTTGCACCCTCAAAGGGTGGTTTCTTATATTTTTAAGATTTACCACAATTTACCCAGGTAAATTTATAAATTGACCTGTTTTTGGATTTTTTAAAAAAGTAAGTGGTTTTCAAAATACAGAATTTATTCCAGTTAAGGTTTCCACCCTGTATAATAGTATATTAAAGAACTAATCGTCGGCTGAGAATTAGATTGTTCTATCTCCCAAAACCTAAACAGTGAGAACAATCTGTTTAAAGTTTCATTTATAACTTACTTCTGCAGTTTAAAACCTATTGCAATTAAGTTTTATGTAGTTAATTGAATTTACTACATAAAACTTAATTGCGATATGTTTTAAAAAGCAGAAGTGAGTTATAAATGACACTTTAAACAGCTTGTTCTCCCTGTTCAGGTTTTGGGAGATAGAACAATCAAATTCTCAGCTGACATAATGTCATAAGACGTCATTTTGTCGCACGCGGAAAATTTATAAAACGAACGACGAAAGAGCGAGTTTTGTAATGGACGAGTGCCACAAAAGGTCTTATGACATAAGTTCTTTATGCTTTTTTATCTATTTTGCAAAAATTCTTTAAAAAAAAATTAATTTTATAAGTACCTTAAATTTAATTTGGTCAAATTTTACTTTAGATAGTTGTTATCACAGTCATTGGTTTGACAGTTAATGTCAAAACCAAATCACCATGCCGTCCTTAATTTAATTATTTACAATAAGCGGCTGTTAATTTTAAAGAAGAAAAAAGGATTTTCTTTGGTGGTAAACAAAATTTATTTCCAGAAATGTCTCTTAAGTACTAGAAAAATCATAAAAATATTATAACTAATATGCAAATTATTATTTTATTAGTATGCTGTTGTTTAAAGTATAGCCAACCTATAAAATCAAATTTTGGGTGGGATAAAATATCTCATTACAGCACCGAAAGCGGTGTTATAATGAAGTCATTATGAACGCAAAATAGATAACTAAATTTAAATTTATTTATATAAGAAAGTAAAATTGGTAAAATTACTTTAAAATGTAAAAATACATAATATTTGTAAAAATACAATTCACGTGTGAAATTTAACCAATCAAAGGCTTTGTTTTCAATCACGTTCGCCGAGCCTATGCTATGCCCAGTAGGGTCATAAAGGAAGTAGGACGGGAGGGATAGACATTTTTGGTGTTTGGAGGACAATTACGCCGACTCAAATCTAAGGCTAGACCAGGCAATTAGTATTAATCCAAACATTTGGGATTACTATTTGGAGTTGCTGGGTTGTTATTTCTAGTCATAGCTTGGTAAAGCTATGGAAATTTTGTAACCGAATTCAACACAGAAATGCAGTCAAATATCTCATAAAGTAAAAAAATTAATTAAATACCTACTGCTAATTTTCCACAAATTTTTTGTTTAGCAGTTACTGCCTTTCTTCATAGTAGGGCAGTATAGTGATTTAGTTTTCTTTATCTTATTTTTGTTGTTACTTAGTTGATATTTTTTTTTACTTTTAGTGTATAATCTAATGTTTTACAAAATCCATTAGAATTTGATTAGTGTGCTATTATTAATTGTTTCGACCTTTACTTGATGAAACTCCATATTAACTATGTAAATATAAAAACAACTATGTTTTAAAAGTTTCACGTTATTTATTTCGACCAACCAGGTTGGGTTATTTATGGCCTAGGTCGTAAAAACTCATTATTTACTACTTTGGACCAATATAAAAAATCGACTTACCTCACTTTCTACTTTTAATAATTGTGCAAGCTTGAGTTATATGCAAGAACACAGTATTCTTGTATAGTTTAACACAGCGCTTTCCAACATGCCCGCATATATGCGGCCTGCTACGACATTTTTCGCGGCCCATAGAGCAAATAAAAAAAAATGGAAATAAAGGTAATTAGTCAAATAACTAGTTTTTATAGTGAAAAAGCAGACAATAATAACTGTAGTCCACAGCAATTGGTATACCTGACATTGAATAGCCAATTCTTATGTAAAAAAAATTGTCTCCTGAATCCGAAAATACCGTTAAATTTCTATATTATATGGAGAATTGACTATTTGACGACATTTTTGGATTATGCGGACAATTTTTCTGATTGCTAAATGTCCGGGATACAAATTGCTGTTGACGAGAATTATTAGTGGCTGATTTTTCAATATGAAAATTATTTATTTTTGACTAATTAATTTTTAGAGATTGGCATTCATGTGTGGAGTACTTCACCAAAAGCAAAAAAATCTTATCCAACAAAAAATAGCATTAAGAGCAATGGCAAAAATAAGCCATATTACCAGCTGCAGACCTTATTTTAAAATATATAAAATACTTACAACAGCACAATATATGTTGTATCAAGTGCATAAAAATAAAAAAAGACATAAAGATATACACAAGGAAAATCATCAAAAACATCGTCTACGATCTACTCAGTTATAATCAAATACTAACAGAAAGAGGGTTTGCGGGGGAAATTTTGGAAAATTATATTTAAAAACAGTTTTTAAACAAAACCTAATCTGTGTTGTGTTGCATCCGTTTTTTTATTAACTAAGGCCTTGCCAGCAGAATATAAAGCAAAGGATGTCAAAGATTTTAAAACCAAGATGAAGGCAATTTTAACTAAAAATGTATTTTATTCCATGGTTTTCAGTTTAATCACGTTGTGTAAACCTTATATTTTGTTACAGTATTACATTTAGTGTTTATTTTAGTTTTTCTTATAGTAAAAAATCGAACTATTTTTTGTATAAATCTTTTTTCTGGCTTGCTTTGTAATTTTTTTGAATATTAATAAATAATAGGATTGTCGTTAAAAATTATTTTTTTTGCGACGCCCCTAAAAAGCTTCTTTTTAATGAAAAAATACTGGGAAATTTTTTAAAATTTTTTTAATTAAAACAACACGTGCCTCAAGACGATCTAAGTTAATTTTTTGGTATAATCATGTTTTTTTGGGAATTTTTTATGAAAAATAAAATTTTATTCGAAATATGAACAATTATAGAACCCAAATCAATAAAAAAACAATAGTTAATCAAAATAATAGACAAAAATTTAAATTCAAAATTTTTTCCCAGTAAACAAAAAAATGAAATATATTCAAATTGATATTTTTATTTTAAAACTAAATAAGTACGAACGTAATTTCAATATTTAGATTTCTTCACTCCAAGGTGAAGTTATTTCATTGTTAATAATTTTTAAATC